CCTTAGTAGATTTCAACTTGCAACTTAGTAGATTTCACTTGGAGACCAGGCCCATCTTAGAGATATTTAAGCAGAGGCGAAGGAGCTATCTGTCTATCAGATAGACTATAGCAGAGGTCTCCAAACTTGGAAACTTTAAGGCTTGTGGACTTTGACTCTCAGAATTCCTCAGCCAGCTATGAATTCTGAGAGCTGAAGTCCACAAGTCTTAAAGTTTGCCTATTTGGGGACCCCTGGGCTACAGTTTCATCCTGTGTTGTGGTTCACAAGGCTGACTCAATAACCTTCAATGTCCCTTCAAAATCATCTTATCATTAGTAGGATAAGGCTGCTCACGACAGTCTGCCTTACATACTATATTGCACAAAATTCCAAAAGTTTCGGGGGAGCAAGAACATTCCACAGACTCCAGGATGTTGAATGCTCAGGGTATACTTTGGGAACAGGCTACAGCTAAATTGGGGTCGCAAGCTGCTTTGCCTGGATCACTCTGTCCCTACATCACCAACCGGCCATGTGTCTGTCTCAGAGCATGCCAGACGTCCTGCGTGTTGAGCACTGTAACCAAGCATCCTGCTCGGCAGAGGGATGATCTTCTCTATGCATCTGCTGCCAATTTATTGTGTTTCTTTGCTAAATGTATAGAGCAGGGGTCTTCAAACTTGACAGCTTTAAGACTTGTGGACTTCAACTTCCAGAATTCCTCCTCCAGTCATGTTAGCTGAGGAATTCTGGGAGTTGAAGTCCACAAGTCTTAAACTTGCCAACCTTGGTATAGAGGGTGAAGTCCTTTGCATGTGCAGCAAAGAAATAAACAGGAGATGGAAGCAGGGTTCAGTCCATCTGTTAGAGTAGAATAGAAGATGGAAGGGACCTTGGAGGTCTTCTAGTCCAGCCCCTGCTCAAGCAGGAGAACCTATACAATCTTAGATAAGTGACTGTCCAGCCTCTTCCTAACCAGCCTGAGTTTCTGCATTAGCTCTGCAAGGAGATTCATCAACGTCCATTCATCATCAAACCAGAAAGAAGCAACTTCCTTCTTCTGTTGCATTGCAGACTTTTTGTTGCTTTTCTGGGTATTTGACATCTTATAACTTCTCCATGGGATGCTTGGGCTTCTGAAGGACAAGTAAAATTCTCCATGTTTTTGAAAATAGTCTACTATATGTTGGCCTCGCTGGGGAAAATAAGTTTATTTCCCCAGCTTACTACAGGATAGAGAAGGGGTCTCCAACCTTGGCAACTTTAAGATTTGTGGACTTCAACTTTAAGACTTGTGGAGCCAAAGTCCACAAGTCTTAAAGTTGCCAAGGTTGGAGAGCCCTGGTATAGAGGAACAGTGAATGGATAAACAAGCCAAAATTTGCACCTCTTTTCTTGCAATGTGGTCACTTACCTACAAGACATTCTTAGTTCCCATGCCAGCAAAAACAAGCTTCCCATAATGAAGCAGCAGATCACCTGGTTCTTGCTAGATCAGGATGCAGGGGTGACTCTGCATTTTGATCTGACAGGTTTCCTGCTATGGAGATCCCAGATTCCAATTTGGAACAGGAGAACCACGTGGAGGATGCCGAAAGAGAGTAAAAATCTCAGTTAAAGGAAATTTCTTAAATACGTGTTATGAATCTCTGCCTCTCCTGTGAGAGTACAAATAACATTACGGAGTAGCATGAGTCTCAAGTAAACTGTCAATTTGATGGCTTTTCCTTTCGTCTCTTCTTGTGTGGCCAGGATGAGAAAGAAGCCAACTTTATGCACCAGTCACAAGCTCCAGTCCAAGTTTGATTTTATGATTTCAAAAACAAGGTACCCAGCTTGAGAAAGACACAAGGGATTGATTTTTATTTTCTAATAGAAGGGGGTGAAATCTGCAGGCCCAGACTTGCTTCTGGGCGGGATAAACCTTCCCTTTACCTGTGAGTTTGGGAGAGACTTATATTAAATTTTCAGGCATAGATGCTTCTCCTCAGAAGATAAAAACTGCCATGCTCCAGGAACGCAGAAAGATATGTTCCTGCCCCCAGTCTTTATAACAAATAAGGGAGGAAACCTGCCAAATTATAGTTACCAATTACAAATAGGGATGCAGAGACCTTGAAGCTATGTACCTTTCTATGTCTTTTTTCCAAGACAGTTAATGCTGTAATTACTGTTTTTGGATAGAATTAGAGAACCACAGGCAAACACCTTCTCAAGATACTGTGATTGGAAAACCTCTGACAAATCACTCTGTAGAATTTGAAGGTATACTTGTCAATTGCTTACGTTCAACCAACTTCCTTCCATCTCTTCCCATCCCATCGTTTTAAATGTAATGTTTCTCCCCCATCCTGGAAACCTCTATGATTTTGTGGGGGTCTGAAAATGCCAGTATATATACAAAAGTGCGCTGGATGTTTTTATTCAGTTTGGTTTACTTGATAGAGATTCTAGTTTATCTCTGGAGCTGAATTCAATTCAGAGAATTTCTCTCTTTTATCTATCATCTACTTATCATCTATCTGTCTGCTATCCTATCTATCTATCCATCCATCCATCATATATCTATTTCAATTGTGCTTCCCCTGAAATATATTAAAAGTTCTGTAGCATAGAGCATCCTGTAGCCTTGGAGCATTGGAACAGCTTGCCCTCGGAAGTTGTGGGAGTGTCATCACTGGAGGCTTTTAAGAAGAGATTGGACTGCCAGTTGTCAGAAATGGTATAGGGTCTCCTGCTTGGGCAGAGGGTTGGAGTAGATGACCTACTACAAGGTCCCTTCCAACTCTGATTATCCGTTAATATGTTACAGAGGCCAAAATTGTAAGCTATTCTCCATTCAGATCCTGCTATAAAACAAGGCCAATTACTTAGTTCTGAAGTCAACTGTATTTGTTTGGAAGGATTGGTGAGATTTTTAATTTTAAATACCTGGAAAAGTGTGTAAAGATGGGATACTGTGACCATGAATTGATTGAAACTGGAACAAGACACAGGAAAGTCATTTGAGATTGACCTTGCTTTTCATTTTTGGAATAGATTAAAAAGCTTTCATATGACAAAGCTATTTGCTAATAGCACACAATACATTTATCAGCTGCTGTGTTACATTTTTTGTTTGTTTATGCTTATTGCATTTTATTGTTCTGATCATAATCTGCTTTGATGTGTTGGCTGGAGAGCAGTTAAAGAATGATTCAAATCATAAATGCCTTCATTATCCTAATGGGGTTAATGATCTTCAGGCAATTACAGCAAATAAAGGAAAGATCTATGACAAAAAAAAAAAGTGTGACAGTTGGGGAGATTCATTCACAGCGAACAAATCCCCACTGTTTTCTTGTTCAGATCCAAGCAAAATATTACATATTGGCCCTAAAATATAAATGTGGCATTTCAAATTGGAGAGCTCAGTTTTGTTCACCCCAAAGTAAGACTGACGTTAGCTGCCTATTACCAGGTTCACGGAGTACTTTACAGTCCTAAGAGTACATAGTGTAGGCGTTTCAAAAAGATTGCGTAGGCTTTGATTTAGTGATTTTGAGTTATGCTCTATCTTGATCATCTTGCAACGAGTGAGCAAACAAAGACAAAGAAGGAAGAAACTCTCTCTTTGACTGAATAATTAAGGTATAAAGAATAAAACTGGAGGAAAGTTTAATAGAGCAAGATATGGGAAGATCCATAAAGACAGGGGGTGGGCTTCAAACATTTTAGCAAAGGGTTCTCTGCCCGGTTGCTGCGTGGGCGTGACCATGGTGGGCATGGCCTAGTTGGCCTCCTGCACCATAGTGGGGAGGCTTTTTTGCTTTCCTTCGAGCCTCTTGGAGGGCGAAAACGGCCTCCTCAGGCTCCGGAGGCTCTCTGGAAGCCAGAAACAGGCCCATTTCCGGCCTTCCTAAATTTCCAGGAGGCCCATTTTTCACCCTCGAGCCTCTGTGCATGCCCTGCACTTACCTGCATCCAAAACGGGCCACATGGGGGCTCCTGGGAGGGGAGGGGTGGGCGGGGCCAGCCAGGAGTGGGATTTGGAGGTTAGCTAGGGGCTCTCCCGAACCCCTGCGAGCCCCCAGCAACCCACCCCTGCGTAAAGATCATGGATCAGCATTTCCTCAGCAAAAGCAGGATTGAAGTAAACATTCTTCAGCCTCTGAATCTCACGGTTTAAAGTTGCTGGAGCTCCCATCGACCAGGTTGTTAAACAGGCTTCAAATAAAATGACCCCTGAGTTGAGCTTGATTTTTGTGGTGACTCCAAGGAGACCACCTCACAGTTGTCCTGGCAACAGCATGGACATGATTTGCCATTTCTTTCCTCTAGGCCAGGGGTGGCTAAACTTGTTGGGCTCCTGTGCCAAAAAGTGTGTGCGCGCTTGTGCTTCTGCACTCACGTGCCAGCACCCAGAAGGCAATGTGTGCCCCCCCCATGCCCCCTATGCATGGGCGTGCAATCTCCCCCCAACTGCCCCCTTATCTGCACTGCTCCTCACAGCTGATTTTCAGCCGGTTTGAGGCCTTTTTCGGTATCACAGAGGCTTGAATAAAGCCTCTGCAGGCTTTGTAGGACGAATAATATTTTGTCACCTTTGGTATTACAGGAAGTGACAAAACAGGCCTATTATTCATCCTGCAAAGGCTTTTTTCAGGCCCCTGGGAGGCCGAAAAAGGCCTCAAACCAGCCAAAATTCAGCTGTGAGGCACATGCATGCACAGTGAGCAAAGTTTGCCTGCGGCTTGCGTGCGGGCACAAATGGCTCTGCGTGCCATCTGTGACATGCTTGCCATAGGTTCGCCATCATGGCTCTAGGCTTTGCTTATAGACCTGGACTTAGTTTACGGCAGAGGTCTCAAAACTTGGCAACTTTAAGACTTGTGGCTTTCAACTCCCAGCTGGCTGGAGAATTCTGGGAGTTAGTCCACAAGTCCTAAAGTTGCCAAGTTTGGGGACCCCTGGTTTACAGTCTGCAGTTCTGCAATTTCTTGGTGGTCTCCCATCCAGGATCTCTCTAGATCCAGTCCTGATTAGTTTAATGTGACCATACTCAGCTTTGCATATAGATTTAAGCCCGATCAGAAGCAAATAGTCTCTCTGGACACAATCCTTTAAAACAATGAAATGTCATCTCCAGATATTCAAAGATGGCCGCCTCAACTGGATACTGAGAGGTGTGGACTTTAAAAAGCTACATTTTAGAAGCAGAATAAAAATTTAAGGGTCCTTAAACATTTCTGAATGCAGAAATATACCAAGACGCAAATAGGGACTGATTTTATATTAAGGAAGAAAAATATTTCCACAGAAAAAAATATTTCCTTTATGTGAGGGGGGCTGAGTGGGGTATCCAGATTTCATCGTGTTTATAACAGAAAAATTGACATTCCTAACTAATTTGATCAATTGGTGTTAGTATATCTGCTTTATACCTGTCCACAAATAGATGCCAAAGGTTGACATCATTTTGTTTTTCCTTTGGTGACCAATACTTCTGTTGTTATTTTATTTGCAAAATAAAAAAGGCAAAACCTTTTTATGTTGTATTTAGCCAATTTTATTCAACAGTAAGGAACTTTCCCATGCAATAGGGAAGAATAGAATGAATTTAGTTAACCATTAAAGAAAATAATTAGAGTGAAGCTATTTTAATTCTTTTTGACAGAATGTATGTTCCCCTATATTTTTAGACCTGATAAAAAAATAAAAGCAATTCTAATTTTTCAGGTCCATTTCTTGATTTTATGTTGGATTAAGACTGAAAATGTTCATGAATCCAAACCACTTTTGCTAGTTAAATTCTCCAGAGACCATAGAGAGGAATAAGGGCATAATATGATAAAAGTGTCTTATAGCACAATATCATGTAAAAGGTGGCAACATCTTTCTCAAATGGCAACACCTTTCTCAAATCCTTATTTTGCTTTGACCAAGCTTAATAAAAGCTATTAGTTCAAGGCTGATTCTAGATGACCAATAGATGGCAGCAAAGTCAGAACTTTTAGGGTTTTCTGTGTCTCTTTGCTGACATCTAGAGCTCAACTACCTTTTTGCAGTGCAAATCTAGGAGGCCTAAAATACTGTTGTGTGCAGCAGGCTACAACCTTCCTGAGTACTATACTTCTACAGCCAATTAAACCAACCATGTTAGTAATTAATCCCAAGTTTCTGACCTCTGGCCCTCCAACAAGCCTGGATTTGCAAAACAAGGAAAATCACGATATTCAGATCTGGTTTGTAAACTGTGTGATAATTTAGGAAGTACAGATAATCCTCAACTTACAACCGTTTGTTTAGCTACTGTTCAAAGTTAAAGCGGCATTGAAAACAGTGACTTATGACTGGTCCTTGCAAGCATGACCGTTGCAGCACATGATCCAAATTTGAACACTTAACAACCCACATCTATTTACAACCATTGCAACATCCCGGGGTCATGTGATCACCATTTGTGACCTTCCCAGCTGGCTTCCAATGAGGAAAGCCGGATTCACCTGAATAATCTCATGATTCACTTAAAAGTTGCAGTGGTTTGTTTCACAACTGTGGCAAAAAGGTTGTAACATTGGGCATGGCACACTTAACAACTGCCTTGCTTAGCAACAGAAAGTCTACTCCCAATTGTGACTGTAAATCGAGGATTATCTGTAGGGTGATATGGGCTAGATTTCTGACTACTTTACACAGGTAATGCTGGCTGGAGGAACCAATCCCATAGAAGTGGCCTTTAACTTGTTGATCTTGAAATGGGCTTCTTTGAAATGTTGGGTTACATTACCCATGAATGCTGCCACTGCCAGTGATCCTATAGATCGGGGGTCCCCAATCACTGGTCTATGGACTGGCACCAGTCCATGGTATGCCAGAAACCGAGTCGCACAAACAAACTAAGCCTCATCCGCAGGATGCAGGCAGCACACGAAACCACACCCCCTCTGGTCCGCGGGAAAATATATCTCCACGGAACTGGTCCCTGGTGCCGCAAAGGTTGAGGGCCACTGCTATTGATGTTACTGAATCACAAACCCCACAGCTCTTCATCGTTAGCTTAGCTGGCTGGGATTTCTGGGAGTTGTAGTCCAGCAGTACTTTTTAACTACACTTTCTTTTAAAAAAAAAACTCTCCCTCATGTTTTTAACTTTGGCGTTTATAAGAAAATATGGCATATACAAAAATGTGCAGAAATGTACGTGTTATGATGAACTTATAATTAGATGTTATAAAAGTCTTTGCTTTCCTGTGCTTGAGCAATATTGTTATATCTAGCAGGCAAAAACGAGATGAGAAATCACTCGATGGCAAGAAAGCGTTAGAGCAGGGTTCCCCAATCTCCAGGCCATGCCCCACTACCAGGCTGTGGCCTATCTGGAACTGGGCTGCGTGAGCAGCTGGCTGGCGTATATCCGCAGCTCACCTTGTGCAAGTGGCAGGCCGGTGTGCGCATGCGCAGCTCGACTTGCACGAGCAGTGGCAGCAGGCTGGTTCCCCTCTCCCCCACCCCAATGGGCCGCCAGACCATAGAGTTCAGGGACCACTGAGTTTTCTGTTTCTCTTTGCTGCCACCAAGTGGTCATCTCGATTTTTGCTGCCAGATACTGCCTTGTTCTTTTGAAGATTTGATGTAGTACTTTTCTAAAGAAACAGGCTTCCCTATAGAACTGCAAGCTGTGTAGACCATAAGATGAAACAGGAAACAATACAGGTAGTCCTCGACTTATAACAGTTCATTCAAAGTTACAATGGCACTGAAAAAAAGTGACTTACGACCATTTTTCACACATGACCGTTGCCGCATCCCCATGGTCCCATGGCTTATATTCATATCCTTGACAACTGATTCCCCTTTATGACGGTTGCAGTGTCCTTGGAGTCACGTGATTCCTTTTTGCGACCTTCTGACAACCAAAGCCAATGGGGAAACCATATTCACTCAACAACCCTATTACTAATTTAAAAATTTCAGCAATTCACTTAACGACTGTGGTGAGAAAAGTTGTAAAATGGGGCAAACTCACTTAACAAATTTCTCACTTAACGACATAAATTTTGGGCTTGGTTGTGGTCGTAAGTTGTGGACTACCTGTAATCATCAGGGAATAAGTATGTATCGTCTTTCACTTCTAACCTGCAGCTGTTATTAACGTAGCAGGATTGAGCTCATAACTTCTAATGTTTGCCAAGCTATTCAGTTCCATTGACACGACACTTTGGTTTAATTTTCCTTAGGCATTGATACACCTTTATTTGGACACACACCATTATTTACCATCATAAATAATAATGTAATCATTAGCCGTGTCATAGCTTATATTTGGTGAGTGATTATGTCACACGGAAGAGTACGATGGATTTTTCTGAAAGGCTATGTTGAAAATCCAATGAAATGTTTATGTAGGTTTTGTTCTTTGCTTACAGGAAGTGTATATCTGCACCTTGGTTTGGCCCAGCATTGCAGGAGAAATTGCTTGGGATGTCTCCTTTGCCACCGTGATCTTCCTTGTACCAGGATTGGTCATTGTAATTAGTTATTCAAAGATTTTACAGGTATTTTAATATACATACATATATATATATATATATATATATATATAAAACGTCAAGAATATTTTGGATTTTCATTTTAGCAGACTGCAAGAATATTCACTGAAGGAAGTTGATAATGCAATAAGCAACACACAATTGACTTTTTAATATTCTTAATCATGTCAGCAATGTTTATTGCTAAAACATAAGAACCAGAGGTGGTATTCAGCAAGTTCTGACCAGTTCTGGAGAACCGGTAGTGGAAATTTTGAGTAGTTCGGAGATCCAGCAAATACCACCCCTGACTGGAGATTTTACAGTATCCTTCCCCTCCCACGCCCACCAAACCACACCCACAGAACCGGTAGTAAGAAACTTGAATCCCACCATTGATAAGAACATAAATCAGACCCCATCTAAGTCTAATAACAGAGTAACAGAGTTGGAAGGGACCTTGGAAATCTAGTCCAGCAGCCCCCAATCTTTTGGGCACTGGGGACCAGTTCCATGGAGAGAAGTTTTTCCGTGTACCGAGGGGGGCGTGGTTTCATGTGATGCCTGCATCCTGCAGATGGGGCTTCGCTAGTTTTCACGGCCCGGTTTCTGACATACAGCGGCCTGTTTCTGGTCCATGGACCAGGGGTTGGGGACCCCTGTTTTAGTCCAACTTCCTGCTCGGGCAAGAAACCCTATACTAGCGATGGCTAACCTTTTTAGCAAGTGCCCTAAATGCAATGTGTGCATGTCCTCCACACATGCGCCCGCCCCCATGCTTGTGTGCACATCCCATGCATGCATCCCACCCCTCCGCATGCGCCCCTGCATGCCCCATGCCCCCCCCCCCGCATGTGAGGCAGAGCCGAAGACCAGCTGGCTGGTAGGGGACACATGCGCATGCATGGCAAAGCTGAGCTGGGGTGATGGCTCACGTGCCCTCAGAGAGGGTTTTGCGTGCCACCATCACAGCCCTATGCCATTTCAGACAAATGGTTGTATCTCTTAAAGACCAATCTCTTAAAAACTTCCAGTGTTGGAGTAGCCACAACTTCTGGAGGCCAGTCGTTCCACTGATGAATTGTTTAACTGTCAGAAAATAAGTTTAACAGTCTATTCTCATGGTGACCAACCAATTCCACAAGGAAGTCTATTAGTCTCCCTGCAGATGGTGCATGTCAGAGGTGGGTATTCAGCAGGTTCTGACCAGTTCTGGAGAACCGGTAGCGGAAATTTTGAGTAGCTCGGAGAACCGGCAAATCTCACCTCTGACTGGAGATTTTATAGTATCCTTCCCCTGCCACGCCCACCAAGCCACACCCACCAAGCCACGCCCACAGAACCAGTAGTAAAACGATTTGAATCCCACCACTGGTCCATGTTGTTGTGGAGGCCAATAACCAATAGCTCCTCCTGACTTTGTGAATCATCACAACTCTTTTCTGAGTTGACACCCAACTCCACCTCTCCGCATAGCAAATTCCAAAGTGACAAATGGGAGGGACATTTATTTATTCAACCTAACAACCTTATTGCAATGGAACTAGAAATACAGCCTACACTTAAAACTGTAATGTAAAAACAAAAAAAGAACACCTCAACGCATGAGCTTATAATATAAAAAATCAATATATCAGAACGGAGAGAACATCCGCTAAATGTGGGAAAAGTTAATTGTTCAGCTTCTACCTCAAAGCCGAGAGAGTAGGAGTTAGGTGTGGTTTGAGCAATAAAGGAATTGCTATGTAGGAAGTGAATTTGAAATGAAGCTGCCCAGTCTGTGTTTGTAAGCTCGGTAGATTTAAGAGTAAGCAGGAAATCTTTTAACCCATGGTTGGATTCCAAGCCAGATCTGGGTGACAAAAACCAGACAGCTGGTAGATGGCAGCAAAGGGATATAGCAGACACACAGATCAAACTTTAATACAATCATAGACCAACGCAGTAAAAAAGCACTTGCTCTTTGCTATTTCTGAAATCCCAGATCTGGTGGCCAACATTTGGGTTTTAAAGGGCATAATATACATCTTAAATTAAGTCCAAACCAGGCTGGTAATCAGTGCAGCTGACTTAATCATTGCTGTATATGCTTGATCTCTTGCATCCAGTTAGGACTGTTGATGTTCCCAACATATATGTAGGGTAGTAGCCTAAAGAAGGCTGTTGTAGCCGAAGCTGCTGCTTTTAACAAATGCCCCAAGTGGATTTTTTAATTTAAAGTGAGTCATTTAAGCACGTCTTTAGGACTTTAAGAGCCGTGATGGTGCAGTGGTTAGAATGCAGTACTGCAGGCTGCTTCTGCTGACTGCCAGCAATTCGGCAGTTCGATTCTGACTGGCTCAAGGTTGACTCAGCTTTCCATCCTTCCGAGGTGGGTAAAATGAGGACCCAGATTGTTGGGGGCAATAGGCTGACTCTGTAAAACCGCTCAGAGAGGGCTGTATACAAGTTTAACTGCTATTGCTATTCTGTTTTTCTGCCCAAATAAAGGAATAGCCAAATGAGAGACCATCCTGGCTGGATTTGCTGAAACTGTAGTCCAGCAACTCATGGAACACCACAGTTTTCCAACTTATAATGTACAGCATCTTTAGTGATTCTAATATTGAGAAGGGACCTCTTCTCCCTTTTCTGTCATATCAAATATTTTCCTAGGCAGTCTAAACATTTTTCAGATGCTTGAAATGTCGTACCCTACCCGTTTAGAATGGAAGTTTTCTTATTCTTTCTGCAGGAAAAAAATTATGACCAGAATCTAGTATGACATCATATAGCTAATCCTCAACTTATCGTCATTCGTTTAACAACCTTTCAAAGTTGTACCATCATGGAAGAAAGGGCCTTGCAAACGGTCCTCGCACTTGCGACTGTTGCAAGCAGCATTCCACGGTCACATGATCACAATTTAGGCACTTGGCTAATGGCATGTATTTACGATGGTTGCAGCATCCTAGGGTCATGTGACTGATGCTTGTAACTTCCCAGTTGATTTCTGACAAGCAAAGTCAATGGGAGGAAGCTAGATTTGCTTAACGGCAGCATGATTTGCTTAGCGACTGCAATGATTTGCCTAACGGTAGCAAAACTGGTCATAAAATCAGACACAACTCCCTTAACAGCCATCTTACTTAGCCCCTACTGTGGTTATAAGTCGACAACTACCTGTAAAGGAATGGACCTCTTTATAGGGCTCTCATATCTGATTGGCAGAAATCCAGACTGCCAGTAGATGGCAGCAGATATGCAGAAAATGCACAATTTGCTGTCAGCTATGATCACTTCAATGTTTGCAGCCCAGATATGGTAGCTGTGTCAGAATCCCACAGATTCAGAGTCTCCATTCCTAATTAATCATATCAATCTAAATCATCTTTTTTTTTTGTCGATATCTTTTTTGTATGTCTCAATTCTTTCATATTGACTTCATCAATATCAGAGGCTGGGTCTGTAGTTCACACACGAAATGAACCCTAATACTATGTTGATATAAGCTTGATAGGTGTGATAAGACCTATTTAATGCTACATTATTGCCATGGCTGCAGTAGTACTGTGAACGTGAATTCTTTTCTGATCCACATTCCATCAAGATTCCTCAGCCACCATAATTTGAGCTTCAGGGTGACAAATCAGCAAATGGTGGAACTAGTCCACGCCGGGCCCCCCGGGCAGCAGAAGTTGAGAGACCACATGGTGGGACCCTCCCCCCGCCATCTGTTTATTCTTTGACGCCTCAATAGCATGTTCTCCGTTGCAGTTGTGCACAATAGATTATTAAATGATCTATTGTGCATCGTATAACAGGCTGCCTTTCCATCAATTCTAGTGAAATAACCTCTTTCAGCCACAGTGGTCAATGCCCGGAACGCCCTACCCGACTCCGTTGTTACAGCCTCAAGCCCTCACAGCTTCAACCTCAAACTGTCTACCGTGGACCTCGCCCCATTCCTAAGAGGTCCTTAAAGGAGGCGTGCATAAGCGCACCAGCGTGCCTACCGTCCCTGTCTTACCGTCCCCGTTTATCTGTATTTACTTCCTTTGTTCTTGTTTATGTTCCTACCTATATTTGTTATCTTGTACATGTTTGACAAACGAATAAAATAAAATAAATAAAATACTTCAGTTGCTGGGACCAGCCATCTTTCATCCTTTGTCCCACATCTCGGGCCAGTCCTGTACTCTCCCCCCACTTTTTTTTGTCACCTTGAACTCACCTCAAGAAAATTCTGTGAGCTTGCAGGCGGTCTGGAAAATACAGGTTAGTCCTCGACATAACAACATGCAGTTGAGCCCACAATCTATATTGCTAAGTGAGACGTTTGTTAAGCGAGTTTTGCCTCATTTTATGACCTTTCTTGCCACAGTTGTTAAGTGAATCTGGCTTCCCCATAGACTTTGCTTGTCAGAAGGTCGCAAAAGGTGACTCCAGGACACTGCAATTGTCATACATATGAGACAGTTGATAAACATCTGAAGTTTGATCAGGCAACCATGGGGATGCTGCAACAATCATAAGTGCGAAAAGTGGTCATAAGTGACTTTTTTTTCAATGCCGTTATAACTTTGAATGGTCACTGAACGAACTTTTGTAATGTACCTGTGTATATATGTTTAGAAAAGATTAAAAAATCCTAAACATGAATTTTTTGAAACCTTTTCAAAGAGAACAAAGGCAGGTCTCAAGGCTTAACTTTCCACTGTGTTTCAATTGCAGATCGCCAAGGCCTCAAGGAGACGCCTGCAGGTGGGCATGGCCTACTCGCAGAAGCATCATATTCGCATTTCCCAGCAAGATTTCAAATTATTTCGGACTCTGTTTCTCCTCATGATTTCCTTCTTTGTCATGTGGAGCCCCATCATCATCACCATTCTCCTCATTTTAGTACAGAAGTTTCAACCGGATGTGAACATTGCGTCATTTGTTTTCTTCTGGATAATGACGTTCACATTTTCCAATTCAATCATCAACCCGGTCTTATACAATATAGTCCAATTTAAACATGGTTGGAGGCAAATCTTTTTCTGTTGCCAAAATCCCCTTGGGAAAAAAGATACTACAACGGACATGTCCGTGAAGCAGCAGAACCAGAAACATTTCACCGTATCTGTTATCACCAGATAACCGTATGGTATTCCTCATGAGAAGAAGGTCAACAGTTTTTAAGAACTGGAGTAAGCAGTTAAGAAAACAATTTGTACAGACAGTTGTGGTTTTGTTTACTTTGGTAAGAAACATGGATGAATAAATCTGATAGCAATAAATGTGCATTAAAACAGTTTAGCTGGGAACATCTTACAATACCATCCTAAACTAATTAAAATAATGATTTCTTCAGGATCTTAAAATCTCTGTGTGTATATCCGTGACCTAACAACAGGTTCATACAGGACTGTTGATTTCATAAGAGTAAGTATAAACTGGAATAAAGGGCCAGCTACTGGGAGTTTTCACCACTTAAGTAGGACTATACCTCTTTTAACATGCCAGATTTCCTTTCGAATGGTGTTTGTCATCCTTGACAACTTTAAATTGTATGGATTACAACTCTTAGAATTCCCCAGTTGAAGTCCACACAAGTTAAAGTTACCAACATTGAGAAACACTGTTCTACCGGTAGGAAGTCACAATAAGAATTTCTAACCACATATTTATTTTCATTGATGGCTATCGAGAATGAAAGAATCAATTCCTGATTGCTCTATTCTTGAGCCCGACTGCTGACTGATTCTTTGTTCAAAGAGACTTTTTAATTGCTCTATTTTGTAGGAACTAATAGCAGCCTGGCCAATCAGGAACCAGTTCTCTTGGAATTTCTTTAAACTGGACCGTTGAGAAGTCTATCTAGAAGACAAATCAATCAAGAACCAGTTTTCTGAGACTCCTGTGACATGGGCCAATCAAACATCAGTTTAAAAAGCTTCAAATACAATTGCCCAAGTGGTGTTCTGTGTTTACTTTTCTGTGAGCTGCTGCAAAGTACTCAACAAAGTCTTCAATTTTCCCATGTATTTTACCAGGAACACTAACCCTAACCCTTCTAAGCATACTAACCCTCCTAAACTTCATGAAGGCCTAACCCTAACCCTAAGTGGATTTTCCCGCCAATGGGATTTTTTTGTGTATTTTACCAGGAAATGTACATGAGCCAGACTTGAAACGTAAGTACCCTCCTAAACACACCTATGCACCCCAAATTTATTTGGTATGTCCATTTTTCTTTCCAAATGATGGTGGCCTAACCCTAACCTTAAGTGGATTTTCCTGCCAATGGGATTTTTCCATGTATTTTACCAAGGAATATACATAAGCCAGACTCAAAAAATAAATGCTCTCCTAAACATACCCCTGCGCTCCTAATTCATTGGCGATGTCAATTTTTCTGTCCAAATTCATGGAAACTTAACCCTAATCCTAAGTGGATTTTCCCGTCAATGGGATGTCCATTAAACTTTGACTCTTGGTCTTTATGATTGTATTTGAACCCTAGAGTTGGCAGATCTGGCAAGAAGTTCTTAGGGTAGTGTGGGGATTACCTACAGAGGTGAGTGCAGAGAACATACAGATAAATTGGAGTGAGAAGACAAAGAGTATCTTAAAATATTAATCCTACTAAGCAGATGTTTCAGTGCCAGCCTGCAATTAGCAATTTGGTCTCAATGTTCTGGAAAAGAAGTTAAAAAAAAGTTTGATAACTCTCAGATCCCACATTAGTGAATCTGCTAATAAATCTGTGCCACGATTTTGACTTATTCTGTTTCCAAGAACTGCCCACACACGTCCCGCACCCACTCACCTCAGGGCTCCCGCAGCCAGGCCACCCACGCCCCAACACCTGCCTCACCTCATGGTAGCAGCTCCAGCAGTCCCATCCAGCAGGGACCCATGTGGCCACCGGCCCATTTCTGCTTGCTTGTGGCCACAACAGAGCAGAAGGCTGAGCAATGCGCCGGTGACCACCAGTTGAGGTGGGGGGATGTTGATGCCTCACGTGCCCTGCACCAGCTTACCTCAAGGCCCTCACAGCCACGCCATCCATGCCCTGACACCCGCCTCACATCGCGGCACCAGCACACCACTCAGCCTCCTGCTCCATTGCTGCCACAAGCAAGCAGAATAATTGGACTGGCAGCAACGTGGACTCCTGCTACACATGCTTGCTGGTGCTGCCGCCATGAAGCAACTGTTGGGGCATGGATGATCTGGCTGTGGGGGCCCTGAGGTAAGCTCCACCACCACCCTGCCTCGCCTCATGGCCACGGCACCATGAGCAATGAGATGGAATGGGTGGCCGGCAGATGTACAGGCTCTTAAGTAGGGCTTATTTGGGGGGGGAGGATAGGGCTTATATTAGGTACATATGTATACACATGCTGGGTCTTATTTTGTGAATAGGTATTATTTTTGGGGAAGCAGGGTAACTCCTTACTTTTCTGACAAGCAACCTAACTAATCTATTCTGTTAAGGGCTTAATAACAAAAACACAGACAACTGTGTCCAATGGACAGGCTGAGGGCAAGTGAGATAAGGAAGCCCAATACTGAGAACAGCGCTCTAATATCTCTTCAGCAGACACTGTCGGCTCTGTAGTATGACTGCTGAGTCCTATGAACACAATCGACTATTGTATTTCGTAACCAAGGACCCCCTCAGTTCTGGAAGGAACCTCCCGAGAGAACTGTAGTTAAAACAGATCAGTTGAAGATCTAATACAGGCAGTCCTCGACTTATGACCACAATTGAGCCCAACATTTTTGTTGTTAAGTGAGACACTTGTTCAGTGAACTTTTGCCCCATTTTACAACCTTTCTTGCACAGTTGTTAAGCGAATCATTGCAGTTGTTAAGTTACTACATGGCTAACATGGTAACATGGTACATGGCTGCTAAGTGAATCTGGCTTTCAGGTTGACTTTGCAAAAGGGGAATCACATGATCTTGGTACACAGCAGTTGTCATAAATATGAACCATTGACCAAGCATCTGGATTTTGATCATACGACCATGGGATTGCTGCATAGGTCATAAGTATGAAAAAGGTCATAAGTCGCTTTTTTCAGTGCTGTTGTAATAGATAGTACCTTGTACCTTTAGTATCAGTATCTTGTACAACTCCTGCCCATTTTGGTTAATCCATGGTTTACTTTATTTAGGTGAATACAGAAAAAGGATTATTTGCAGGACCCAAAGTAAGGGGTTTTGTTTTATGTCAGCTAGCAAGCAAGATGATCCGGCAATGGCCATTGGGAATGGAGGGGAGGGAAGACAAACAATGAACTTGCATCTTAACAACCAATGCAAATTTCAGCTTCTCTGTACTTATAACAAATACTGTCCAGTACATAAGGAGCAGCATTTCCATTATGATGACCATGATGTATGTTTCATCATAAGATAAAACAATTTGGAGAGCCAGTGTACAGTATATAAGGGGCAACATTTCCATTATGATGACCATGATGTATGTTTCATCATAGGATAAGACAATTTTGAGAGCCAGTTTGGTATAGTGGTTAAGATGCTGGCTAGAAACCAGGAGACTATGATTCTAGTCCCACCCTAGGCATGAAAGCCAACTGGGCGTCTTTGGGCCAATTATTCTCCCTCAGCCCAACCCACCTCATGGGGTTGCTGTGTGGGGAAAATAGGAGGAAGAAAGAGTATTTTGCATGTTCACCACCTTGAGTTATTTATATTAAAATAATAATCATAAAGGTATAAAAAAATCTAAATGGCTTGTTGAATATTTCTTTGGTCCAGCATCAGTGTGAGGGAAATTTTCACGTTCCTATTGTAGATCAAAGGACCCTGGATAATCATGTTCATATAAAATGTATGAAAAAGATAAAATACTCAATAGCATATTTTCAAGAAAAACAGGTATGTATCTTGTAAAAAGATGCAACATGTGCACAAATTGCAATAGTATTTTATGTAACAGCTTCCTCTTCCTCAAGAAAAGTTTTTCAGTTGATCAAGGTGGGGGTATACTTTCACTATCCATCAGCTGAAGTTCTGACAGCACAATAATATTTGTGGATCATTTACACAATGAGAAAGGACACAACACATACTTAGCTCCAACAATTTGGATTTGTAATTTTTAAACACTGGAAAGACAACATGCTAATTACATACCCCAAATGCATAAATACACGTTCACAACACAATCCTGGTGCTATTACAATGATTTCAGTTTATTAACTGGATAAATGATAAATTACTTATCTGTAATTGAGATAAGTATACTTAAAATCCAAATGAATCCACGAATGAATTAAATTGAAATAAAGGACTTCTCTCAAAACAGTACATTTTTAAAGCATTTAACTATTGAGAATATGTTTTCCTGCTTTCCATAGTATGTTGTCTTTAGTTGCAGAATCCTAAGAAAGAAAAAGAGAAACTACGTCTGCTAAAATTCCCAGAACGCATTATTAAATAAAGGGAACTGGTTTGACTTAATATGGTATAATAAGGTCCTAGAGCTGGCAGATGGTACAAACCAGCTTACTAAATAGACTAGAGTATGAATGTCTGTTTAATTTCATCCTTGATGTCTCAAAGAATAATACATACGTCTTAAAGTTGACAAGTCTGAGAAATACTGATATAGACAAACCCTCCTTGAGAAATATATTAAAGCTTTTGCAGGACAGGCAATATTGTGTGAATGAGTACCACAGCAGCTGCTGGGCCTAGGTACTCTGAAGTTAACTGGGCCTAGGTACTCTGAAGTGGGAGAAAGACATGAATTTCAAGATGAAAAAACAGATATTCTGTGGATTGCAGAACTGAAGGAAGAGATTTCCTAGCAAAAAGAGAGAATAATCCAAATTTAACTTAAGAAGTCAGATGCCTCTATTTGGACTGGGGAGGGAAGTATATGCATGAAATCTGAGAAAACTGGTAGATAAAGATGAATTAATATGGAAGGGCAGAAATTCCTCTGGGCTTCCTTTTTTTTCAGTTCCATCGTTTATTAAGAACACCCAATGTTTAACTCGTGGCCAAGTTTGTTTTATTCCTTTCATGAATCTTCTCATGCCTAATTTGCCTTCCAATTCCCTCTTTGATCCCTTGGGATCCTGCCCTAGATAGACTTCAGCTCATAATAGCTGACTGGAATCCAGTGTGAA